GTTTACCTCACCAGTCAGTCACGCCGTTCCTTAGTGGTGTACCCCCTCCTAAGAAAAATCCTGGATCCGCCCCTGTTCAGATTGGCCGACATACTAGCTCGCGAAAGTCGCTCGCGAAAACAGTCACGAGACTCTCGCGAGTGGCCCTCGTGAGAGGCGCGAGAAGTGAGCCCAGTACTTTTAGGCGTGGTCGCTAAGCTAAGCCACATTTGCTACGGTGGCAAGTAATCATGACTTGGGGATTTTGAATGAAATTTCCATCATTCTGAGGACATCACTCCAAGTCTGGCATATTCAAAACATTGGGAATTAAGTATAATTATTGCCGACACTCTTGGACCAAAATCTTTTCAAAAAATGGTTTTGCGAGGCGTTTAAATATCGAAAGCAATGCCTCGTGCATCGTCAACCATCTCGAACTGTGTCAAGTTGACTGTTTACTTCTCTTCAGACGGGAACTAGGCAATCCAGACGGTAACTGTGGTTGCTCAGAAAGTCATCAAAGATGAAACAAAGGTACCTGAAAATTTTCTGTATTCATAATCATTGTTTATTTGGTGCATTTCACTGTTGCAATTGATATGTAAACTCGATAAGATTGGTGTGTGTTTGTAATACACGTGCACTTACCGTCGCCAATGCTATATACATTTACATGTTTGTGGGGAGTACTATGTTGTGTTGTTTTCCACGGTTTAGCTCGTCGTTTTGCATTTCTTGATATTTCACCTCCGGAAATTACACTAAAACAAATATGATGCAGGAATTTTGTTATAGTTTAATAGGCTTAAAGGCATTAAATTCCCATGTTCCATACAAAGACGAAACAGGAACGAGATGTATATCAGTACATGTACTATCTTTTCAGTCCTATGACTATCTTGTTTGGTCCTGGTATGGTAAACTGCTCAGTCGTGGTTTTGTTGATCCCTCCTCCTTCCCCTACCTACAACGACACAATTTTTTCACATGCTCTGTAGACATATCCATGTTTGAGAAGTCTTACAGTTGTGTATTTAAGTAGCAAATGGTTAAATTTTGTTCTGCAGGTTTAATCTTTGTTACTCTTGTGTGCATTGCCCTTGTGCATGTGTACACATAAACATCACTCCAATTATATTTATAAACGCAAGCTACAGAATGACTCACCACCTGGCAACAGATTATTGATTTTATCAATAAAATAAAATATAAGTTAATTCTTATTATTTCTCTTCCTTATGTAGATTGTAAATAACAATAAGGGGAGTACTGTAACTTATAAAACTTACAATAATTATTTACGTTTAGATTTTTTAAAAACAAATGTTCGTGTGTATTTAATGTTAGTGATTAATGTTAATAATACACAGTGCTAGTGTTATTGTAATTACTTATCAGTGTTACTGTGTTATCGTTAGTATGTTGGTATTAATATAAGTTATAATTCTATTGATACTAAATGGGAATTACTCCTGTTGTTTGTTCAATTGTTCTCTCAGAGGACAGGAAACCATTCGTGCGAGATCTTGTGAGAGCTGTCACATGGCATTTAAAACTTACAACTCGTTATTTTCTTACTCTGCTAAATCATTGCTACAAAAAAACTGGTATTGCATTAGATCAATATATTGAAAAGCTACATGTGTGCTCTTGTAGTAAAAACAATAAAAATCATCATCATCATTATCATTATCATCATCGTCATCATTGTCATCTTTGTCCATGTTTTTGTTGTAGCCATTGTATTGTTATTATTTTAATTCTTCATAATGTAAAACCCAGCCTCCAACTAACTTTATAAAAGAACATCATTTGATTTCCTGTGAAGAATATTGAAGAAAATTACAGTCTAAGTTAATGCAGAACAGTACTAAGTATTGACCTGTCTTTCCCAGGCAAAATTTAAACACTGAATGGAAGTGAAATTCTAGAAGTAATGAAATTATTTGAGACTTTCCTTGAATTTCATTTAATTGAATGAAAACAGCTGTACCATAAATATTTAACCTTTACACCACAGTAATATTTAGATTTAGCCAAGCCTAAAAGTGGAGCTCCTGATTACAATAACTTACCCCAGCTTGAGCCTGCCATCCAATCAAAATCTTCTGCCTGGGCAGCGGTCAACATCCATGAGCTCTAAACATGAGCCCGCAATATGTTCACGTTATACTGGTCGGCGTATACCTTTTTTGATAGGTGTCAATTGAACATAACTTGGATGCCCAATATCAAAGATGTACCCTGTAAACCCGCCCCTCCCAATCTCTAAGGGAAAAGAATTGGGAACAGGGTTGTTGCAGAGTGACATTTCACATTGATTTACATAAAGGGGCATACGTACGTACGTACGAACGGACGGACAGATGTAAGAACATCACATGACAGCCAAAGTTTTTTAGCTCGATGGGTTACAAAATTTTCTAAGCAATGGTTCTCCGCATACGTGCCTTCGGTGCGCAGGATCTCCGCTAATATAAACCTACTGACAGCCACAGAACATTTCATCTCCTCTCCTAACCACATGGCTAACAACATGCAATTCATCCTCTTTGAAAAAGCCTTTTTAAACAGAACCTCAATCAGTAAGGCCAGTGAAGCTTTTTTAATTTTAAAAGACAGAACAATTTGTTGATCCTGATAGTCTTAATATTCAAGAAGAAACATTAGTTAATTTCTTGTTATCATTTCATTTTATCTTATCTTTAATTTACACTGTCAATTAGTTTAGTTTTACGTATTTCCGGTATTAGTTTACGCAGGCACTGGGATCACCACATCCTGACAACCCTTACATGTAAAATTCTCATTGTACCTCAAGAAAGCTGGTTTGGCCAGCCGAATTATAGTACACCTTAAAAAAATCATCCTACGTTGTGTCGGTTTCTGCTTTATATTCTTGAATTTGCCCCTCGCCTTAATGACAACGGGTAATGAATAATAAATGGGAACCAGTGGTTGGGATTAAGGAAGATTAAAATAGATTACCTAGAAACGTATGTTAACTTTGTTCCCCCTGAATCTGGAATGCAAATTATAATCTGTAAAGGTTTAATTTCTTATACAGTTTTACAGCCGTAAGCTCTCAGGAAGACATTATTTAAAATAAATTGAAATTTTCAATCCTTCTCGATTAATATCTTTGCAGTTGTCACTTATCACTAGTTAACACATTATTAATTTCAATGTAATAAAGTGTAGTAGATTTTCAAGTTAAATATGAATTCTAGAGTTTCCTTTCAGAATTCATCATTGCATCCGTTCGATGATTTTATATGGCAATTGCTCTGTTGTTTTTGTCTGATAAGTAATGTCCACAAATACGAAACCACGCAAAGCGTGCGAGTGTGCACGCAAAGACGAAGGCAAGTCCAGCGGCGTTTGATTCCTGGTTCAATGATATCCACTTGGTAGAAATCTCGTAACACCAATCTCACGTTCGTGTGGTACACGACCACTGCAAGACTGCTATTTCCATTTCTACGACTGCGTGAGCATTACGTTTCAGCTGGTTAGTACCAGTTTCCGTCTGGTCTGGTAATACGACTTTTCAACAGCCTTCCGTCCTTCCAAGCATAAGTGCTCACCACCCCCATCACCTTTCCTGCCCCGGTTCTCTGGCTCTCTGGTGTCTTCTCCTTGTTCTTTACAGCATTAGCTAGCCTCTCCAACATGTCCGCCAGTTGCTCCTGGCTAAGTGGTTTACTCATCGCTTTCCTCTTCTTGTCGTCTTGTTCATCTGATAGTTTCGGTGTGTTAAGTCTGGCAACAAGAGCGTCAATTTGCTCTCTGGTCATACCAGAAAGTTGTGTAAATTCTGGATACTTAATGTAGCTTGTTCTGTTCCAAGACATTGTTACTCTCTATGGCTGCAGCGCTTCAGGCTTTGGGCCACGATTTCGTGACGGCTAAAGTTGTTGTAAGACTAATGTCTCAAGATCAAAACTTTTACGCAAGAGGTTCTTTTGTTCCTTTGAAACTGATCTCATTGTTCACTGAACACATGAATAACACTGAGCGTCATAAAACACAATGTGACGAGTATAAACTGCATGATTATTTGCTTCTCTAATTTAATCCACATCTCTTTGTGGTCGCAAGACAAAGGCTGGGTGCTCCTAAGACACATCCATGTCAAAAGTACGCGTCAATACTTCAGACAAAAGCGAGCTTTATGTATATATATAGGTTGGAGCTCGAGGGAATAGACTAGTTGCATATATCGTGAATTTGTTGCGCTGATGAGACGATCGCATTTCTGTGTTTTCGCCAGCAAAATGCATAGACTATGTGCATAAACGCTTGTGAACAAGCTTGCACTTGAAGGGCCGAGAACTGGCTGAGAGTGAAGTGGCCGAGGGGAGATTGGAATGCATGGTCTTTCTTCCCGCTTTTTCTTTGCCCCATCCTCGACTAGAGAGCCTGTTCACAGGCTAGTGGGCAGTATAATTCTGGCCTATATCTCGGTCCGCATTCTTGGTCACTTATGATGTACACATCTTATTAATTTTATTTAAACAGTTGTTTCTTGCTAGATAACATAAAATAACATATTTAATATCAGTAATTTAATCAGTTATTTCTTACTACATAACATACATAATTTATTTACCGGAGAAAGTCAATGCAAAAAACTTACTTTTTTTGGATTCGCCTATAGCAAGTAAACATTCAGCTTTTCCACTCACCGACGTTTCAGCCTCTGAAGTGCCTGCTATCCGGTAGACTGCTGGCAGTCTGCTTTTCTCTCGAAATTTAGCAGGGACTATGAGGAAATGACGCTTTAGCCTAAAGGGGAATGGGACGAGACATGGGCGCGGCACGCACGAGAGGAAAAACCATACTGCCCTTTTGCGTCCGCGATAACTAAACACTCTTCTTAGTGAGCCTAAGAGAAAAAACCGGCTGCCAGCAGACTAGCTATCCTGGAGAATTCGTCTTGAAAGAAGCGACTTCGGAGGCCGCCATTTTGAAACTGTACTCGGCAGCCAGGCCGTGTTTATGTGACGACAAACAAAACAACAGCCACAAAACTTTATTCCTTTTTCAATTATTTACAGCCATGAATTTTAGGTTAATGAATTCTCTTACATCTACACTTTGAACTACACTCTGTGACGTCATTCCGTCCGACTTGATAGGCAGGAAGGAGAAAAACCTGCAACTGACTTTGCATCCTTCACAAGGTCGGCAAAATGTATTTTTTCCAAGCGATTATCCTCTTCACTATCTTCACCGCTATCATTTTTGGAGTTTAGAGCATGTTTGGCTTAAAATAATACGGCTCAAGAGCAGCCATAACCCAGAGTGGTAGTTAAAAGGCTTAAAAAATAATTCTGCCTGATGTTATGTTCATGGTTAAATTCTCTTCCTAGGTATTTAGGGTGTTTATGATAAATATAAGCCACAAAAACGCAAAAAAGACTGAGGCAAGTGCCTCGGCTTGCCTGCCACGAGCTACGGCCTTGATATGTTGTGTTCTGTATTTACCTAACACGGCACATGCGTGATAATACCAGTTATACAGACTGATCTGTAATTCACTATTTCCATTCACTATATCCTTTCCTAACTTGATCATATATGTAAAAAATATAGCAATAAACATGCGTGCCACTCAAGATACAGTAAACTCCGTTCGTTTAGAGGGTGGAGCAACATAGCACATCATCTTCGTTCTTCGTTCGGTGTTTGTCCTCTTGTCATTTTACAAAATAAGAGATGACACCATGAAGAAAGCCATCACGACAAACATTCCATGAGATGTCAAAGTCATCGCACCACCTTCTGGGTTTTCTAGGTTTTCTGGATTAAAAAAAAAAAAAAAAAAAGATAAAATCATCCCTGACTCTTACTCCTTTATGCAGCTTTTAACGTTTGAAACGTTTACAGAACACGTAAATTGGTCCATAATCAAACATTCCAAATAACAATTCCCAACAGGCCATTTGGAATAGACGGATTCGGCTAACGTGTTTATATCCTTGTTGCCACCCAGTTCAGATCATGTGATGATTCATTTGGGAGGTTACAATTGTTCTGTTTGTACATACACCCATGCAATCAGTTACGACACGCAAATTGCACAATTGTGACCTCCCAAATGAATCATCACGTGGTCTGAATTGGGTGGCAACAAGGATGTAAACACGTTAGCCGAATACGTCTATTACTTTGTGCCTCTGTTTCAAAACGAGTTTTCGGGCAAAACCTTTCTTATGATCGTTGGATGTTGTCCTTCAGTAGCATTTTGAATGAATTGGTAAAAGTTCAATTGAGGCCTTACACTACTGTAAAATGATATTAAAATCTTTTAAAAAATCCAAGCTTTCGCCGATCTACGGTTCCCTGATGATGCCGTAGATCGACGAAAGCTTGGATTTTTTAAAAGATTTTAATATCATTTTACAGTAGTGTAAAGCCTCAATTGAACTCTTACCAATCCTTTCTTTTAATATGAAAATGACTTTTATTGGCATAACAATGAACCTGTGGACAAAACACATTTTCATGTGAATGGTTTTGCACGGAGACTCGGTTTGACACAGAGGCACAAGGTAACTCGGAAATGGTCAATTCCTACTGGAAATTTCGTTTTGAGTGGCGAAAGGTTCTATTTGGAACCCAATTTTTCCACGCGTACAACAAAAATATCAATAACCACAGAGTGGTTGAAAATTCCCAAAATCGAAAAATGAAAGGGATATTGCTTGCACTGGGGAAGTACCCGTGATGGAGAGTCTTTGAAAAAGTGTCCCTTTCTCAATGATATATTTGAATTTTGCCAGTTTTGGCCTTTGACGGCCTTTGCACGTTGCTTTTTTCATCTGAAATATGGTATAATCAAGACGGGCGTCACAAGATCGCTATTTTTTGAAATGATGCCATTATTCCAGGAGCTTTGCTCAAACACAGTAACCAACATTAACCAGTATAGTTCAATATCAAGTTGATCCCTACCTTCGACTGTCACAGTGAGGGCAAACTTCTGACACCGATCCTGATCGATCTGCGTGGAACAATTTGATGGCAGGCAACAATAGTAACTTCCACTGTCAGTCGTCTCCAGGTCGGCGATAATCATGCTATAAGGGTCATATCTTCCCTTGCGTGTGATACTGTAACGTTGATCCTCCGAGGAATCTAAAATAGAACCATTCGGGTAATGAAGAGATCATATTTATTATCGTGCCAAACTGAGTGGAAGTGCCATAAAGTTATATCCCGGTGCTTGTTTTTGCTGACTGTCAGACTGACTGACTCACGGACGGACTGACGGACGGACTGACGGACGGACTGACTGACTGACTGACTGAACGAGTGAGTGGTAGGTTGGTTGGCTGGCTAGAGAATCCTTTAAACCGTGAATGTAAATTAAAATGGGTTACTCTTGATCTAGCGATGGACTCTAGGTTGATAAACGTGAACCAATCTGTCAAAACTTCAAAACTTACCATTACAAGACACAACACCGCGCTTAGATTTCCATTCCACTTTCAGCGGAAATCCTGTGGCGCTGCATTCCAGTGTCGCGGTCTCTCCCGTCTTCCCCACGACTTCTTTTTCGCCTTTATGTTCAAACCACGGCGCAACTAAAATGAGGTCACAGAAAGTAAGACAATGTACGCAAGGATTGGTTTTGTGGCCTGCTAGCTACTTAATCTATACTCAAAAAAAAAAAAATTGAATTCCCGCTTGCTCATGGGACAACTAGCTCTAACATTTTGCTTGCCCTAGGTAAGTCTTAGTTTGCTCTTTTATTGAATTAGTTGGTAGACGACTTGCCAGATCCCTTGCCCATCGGGCGATTGGGAGTGAAAAGTTACTTGCCCAGAAGGAGAATCTACTTGTCCCTGGACATGCACGAGAAGAATGGCTCGTGAATGAGTGGATTTTGCGATTCGTACAATATAACTGTACTACTGAGAGGATACTTATTGGTCAATCATAGTGCTGTATGATACAGCCTACGGTCCATGGCCGATTCGTCCCCCGGACGCTTTTCCTATCCAACTTTGGACGAAGGAACGCGCCTTGGCGACGAGGTTGGGTCTCTGGTTACTTTTCGTAAGAGTTTTTTCAGGGGACCAGTAACATCTCGTAACTACAAAATGCACGTGTACTTTTCAAAAACTAACAAGTAGTATTAGCGGGATATGTTTTTCTTACTGTGAATCACAGTGCTAGCGGTCACATTGTATTCTCTGATGTTTCGTAACAGCACTTGTAGCAGACAGGTGTAGTTTCCTCCATCTCTGACACCAACGTCTTTGATGGTTAGTGGACCAAGCGTGTCTCTAGGGTCTCTCGGGTCGGGATTTCGCACACTTTTCAGCACCACACCATCTTTCAACCATGAAATCCTTTTCAGTGGGGTGGAAGCTTGGTTTCCTCTTTCAGTCAAGTTGCAGATCAGTGTGACGTCATCATTGTGTTGTAAGACACCGATGTCAGAGACAACAACTCTGGGAATTTCATATCCTAAACACGCAACAACATAAACACATGTAAGGAAACCAGTCTGACTTGACTAACACTGGCCATGCCGGCTTCTTTGTGTTGAAAGACCCATGTTGGAGGAGTTATTTAAGGTGCAACCATGAACAACTGTTCATGTATATCAGCTTCACTTATGCTTCTCGCCATCCCGGCCAAGTACATATTATCCAATGCTGACCATGCACCCGTCTGTTAATTAAAAGTGTTGACAGACCCATGTTGAAAGAGGTTTTCAAGGTGCAGCCTAGAGCAACTCTACATAGACGTTCGTTAGCTTGAAAAAATGGCTCCATCCCAAGTGCATCGAGACATGTAATACAAGAAATGTACAAGTCCGGTATACTTAACAATTAGACCGGTAGCCCGCAAGGGCTACGGTTTAATAGTCCACGAGGCGAAGCCGAATGGGCCATTGACCCTTTGTCCTTGAGAGCGAACGGTCTAATACATTGTTTTAATATCACCCAACTAGTCGGACAGAAAAGGCAATAATAAAGTTAGCTAATACAGGTTGGAGAAATATTTATTTGGGAATAAAACGAAAGAAAGCGTCACGCTCGATTGCGCCAATTTCGCTACTCGAGGACTATTACTAATAGTCCTCTAGTAGCATAGCCAATTAAAATGCAGGATTTGCATTAGTCCACTAGTTGGGTGATACTAAATACAAGTTAGTCATCTACACCTTCAATTTGGTTCTAACATAAAGTCTACTTGCATTTACAGGACAGGTGAAAAACAAAAATTTTTAATTTGAAGTAAAGTTGACATAAAAGTAGATCATCAAGCCTGGCCTGAAGGCTGAAGGAAAATCTATCATCTCTGTAAGTACATTTGATGTTCCTATCCTCAGCAATAATACTGAATTACTTATGCACAACGGTAACATTACAATAATTGAAAACAATTCGATTATGGGCTCGAGATTTCTATCGCGCGATAGAAATAGAGCGCGAATAATCTAATTGTTTTAGTATAAATGTACTAGTCGTTCAAAACTTAATCTAAATCCTCTTCACAGATACGTCGAAAACGCCAAGAAGCGGCCGTCATTTTGTTAACAAGGGCACACTGCTACACTTTTCACTATCTATCACAGAACAGATAGCGAGTAGGGTAGCCAATCAGTGCAGTAGGAGCGTACTTTGGAGCGTACTTTAGTTAAATCAATTTAAATGCTTTCTCTATCATAACTTTTAAACACACGGCATTGACGGAAATCAGGTTTATAAGTAGAATATTGTTGTAAGTTAATATAATATCAGGATTCGAAGTTTAGGTTTAGGATCTTAGACGTTTTATTGGAATTTATTGTCCTGATGAATTTTTTACCGTGTATAAATAATGGAGAGCAAGTTTTCTATTTCTTTTTTTTATTTCTTTTTTTTATTTTTTAATATTATTATTTTTTTAATTAATTGCTACTTACACTGCTTGTAATACAATATTAATGTAGTTACTTACACTACTTACAAAAAAACTTATTACTTACGCCACTTGCGATACTAACACTTACTCTATACAATACGCATACTCACGCTACTAACAATACTAATACTTACACTGCTTACAATACAACATAATTAGATTACTTGC